TGGGATTGTTGGGGGGTCTGGGCAGGGACAGGGGCTGTTCTCAATGGTCCTTGTGGGTCCTTTCTAGCTCAGGATATTCAGTGATTCCCAGACCTCAACATTTTGAACGATTCCCATAAAACACCTGGGACCAGAGTTGGGCTTCCAGGCTTTGGTGTGTTTGGGATGCAGCACAGCTGGAGCAGGGCAGGGCAGGGATGAGCACACCCCCAGCCCTGCTGCTGCCTGGCCTCGGGGGTGAGTCTGGGACATTCCATGTTTTGCAGGAGAAGGGTTTGGAGCAGCAGCTGGTGACCCTGCTGCTGGAGCTCTCTGCTGACCAGTACGTGCCAGTCTTTGCTCACCACCGAATATCCCTGGAAATGCTGGGCACCATGAGTGCCAGTGACCTGGAAAAGGTACGAGACAGCAGAGTCACAGTGTGGGACAGCACCAGCAGGGATTGTCCCTGTCCTTGCCCCGAGCCCAGCTGTGCCTGCTGGGTCTGCCAGGATGAAGTGTTGGTGCTCTGCTGTGTCACTTCCCCACAAGGACAGGTGCCTGTGCTGCTCTGTCTGTCCCTGTGGGCAGTGGCTCTCCCAGATACTTGGAGGCTGGTTCCATCTTCAACATCCTCCAGATGCTCTCTGTAGTAGACATTGCACCAGGGAATTCCTGGTGCTTGGCAGAGGGGCTTTCCTTGGTATGGCCACATCTTGCCAGCAATGCCCAGAAGTTCTCAGTATCCCCTTGGGGACATCAGCCTGCTGTCCCTCTGGGGCCAACACCCTCCTCTTGCCCCACAGCTCGGTGTGACAGAGGCTGGTCTGCAGCGTGCCATCCTCAGGCGGGCTCAGGAAATCCTGGCTGTGGCCACGACCATCCCAGGTACCCCCAGTTGTTTTCTGCCACATTTGACACTCTCAGCAGGTACCTGAGCCTGGAGCTCTGTGGGTCACACACCTCCCGTGGGTGTGAGGAGGGGAGGCAGGGAGGGCAGGCAGAGCTGCGGTGGGCGATGGGCAGTGCTCAGGGGACTCTGCTGTGGTTGCAGAGCTGCGGAGGGCAGAGGACACCGAGGTCCCTGCGGCCCCAGAGCCCAGCGCTCCCCTGGAGGAGCCCCCGAGCCCCGCGGCCCCCACGGTCCCAGCGCTGCAGTGGGACGAGAAGAAGTCGGAGTGCGTTGTGTGCCTGGAGCAGGAGGTGAGAGCCGGCACAGCCCGGGGCTGGAGCAGGCCGTGGAGGGAGGGCGGGATCCAGCGTGTGCCCAGCTCTGTGTCCCCAGCTGTGTCCTCAGCCTGCCCCTGGCAGTGCCTGGGTGCTCGTCTCGCCAGCTGCCGGGCACAGCCGGGGTCGGGCATCCCGGGGATGGAAGGGCGAGAAGGGCGGGGCAGGGCAGGGACGGACAGACAGGGACGGACAGGGCTCCGTGCAGGCTCGGGCAGGACCTCGCTGAGCTCCACCCACCAGCCGTAGGAAGCGCTCACGGGGCTGCTCAGTTCAGCCCCCTGTGTCCTTCCCTGTGTCCTTCCCTGTGTCCCGTCGCACATCCCTGTGTCCCATTATGTCCTTCCCTGTGTCCCATCGCGCTCCTGCTCGGCACAGCCCCGCACACCCGGGGGGACGGAGATCGGGGTGCGGGGCTCTGCCCTCCACTCTGAGACCCCTCGGGTCATCCCCAGCTCCCCCCGTGCTGGGGCCGGTGTTCAGGGACAGCAGCACTCTCCGTGTCCCCTCTTTGTCTCTCCGCCAGCCCCAGATGATTTTCCTGCCCTGTGGCCACGTCTGCTGCTGCCAGGGCTGCTGCGAGCGGCTGCACTCGTGTCCCCTGTGCCGCCGGGACATCGCCCAGCGCATCCGCATCTTCCACAGCGCCTAGGCCGGCCCGGGAGGCACCGCCCCGCTCCCGGGTGTTCGCTGCTGCCCATGACCCTGTTCACAGCCCCCTACCAGCACGACCAGCACCGCCTTCCCCGTGCCCGGCTGCACCCGGGAGCCTCAGCATCCTCCCAGCTCCCCGATGGCTTCTCAGCACCCAGCTGGGGCTCCTTCAGTGAATCCCTTCCTGCTGCCTGCCCACCCGTGCCTGGGTGACACACTGGGTGCAGCTCTGCAGAGCAGAGCTCTCTGGCAGAGATGTTTGCCTTTAGAAAGGCCCCTGCCTCAGCAGGGACACGGGGAGTGCTGCCCCGAGCTGGGGGAATGTCCCGTGGGAGGATTGGGTCGGGACTTGCTGTTCTTTGTGTACTGACTGTGCCTTGCACCTCTGTCATGCCAAAGGTCTGGGCGTGCTGCTCTGGAGCCCCACAGGGGCGTGTCTGGGTCTGCAGCCTCGGGCAGGGCAGAGCCAGGAGCTCCCCAGCCCCCAGTTCCTGCTCGTGTGGGAGGGGAGAGTGCAACACCCCCAGGACTGGAGGGACCTGCCCTGGCCAGTGGGGTCCTTCAGCCACAGGTCAGGTAGGGAGCAGAAAGTGTTGCTGCCACTGGACAGCGCTGACACAGGGCTGGGGCTGTGCCCAGCCAAGATCCACGGTGCCTCTGTGCCTCTGCATTGGGGTGTGGGGACTTCTCCACTGTCACTAATCAGTAACAATTCCTGTCTGTCCCTCGGCTCCTGACCTTGAAATATAAAAATGCTGCCACGAGCCCTGTCCCACCACAGCCTTCAGCAGGAGCAGCCATTAAACTGCAGCTGTTTTCTGCTGAGGGTGTTTGCTGGTGTTTCCTTCTGCAAGGGGGATGGCTGAGAGCTGAGAGCCAGGCTCGTGCAACAGTGACTGGGCCACCACATGCCCAGCTGTCCCAGTGTCACCTCCTCCTTCTCATCTTCTTGTCAGAAAGAGAAGAATTTGAGGCTCTGGGCTTTCTCCCAAGGTGTTGCTCATTTTGGAGCTGCCCCAGGGATGTCCAGACCTTGGACCCTGCGCTTGGGCTGCCTCACATGAGCTGCCCCGTGCAGAGCATCCCACACGTGTGGGACACGTGTGGCCTCGTGAAGGTGGCCACCAGTGTTCTGGGGACGTGCCACAGCACCAGGGCCAGCGCCTTGGGAACACCCCGGGGATGTTTTCCAGCCTCTGTTTTCATGTTTTGCTGCTGCTGTACGTCAGAGCAGGCAGGTCCTGTCCAGGGAGGGGCGAGGGGCTGCACCAGGAGCAGCTGATGCTTGGGATGGAGGAGGGGAGCCCTGGCCGAGGTGCCTGAATGAAGGCAGGAAGGGTCGTGGAGCACCCTCACTCCTCCCCGTTCCCCCTCCCTCGGCATTCCCTGGGGTCGGGGAGGAGGAGAAAGTCAGAAGCCCTGGGATGGTGAGGAGCAGGGAGAGTGGATCCAGTCTCTCAGCCTGGGACACTCAGGGAACACATGGAGACCCCACGGGTCGGGCTGGAGAGGGAGGAGAGTCCCGAGGGCTGCCCCGACACCCGGCCAGCAGCAGTGATGCTGCAACAACCCCTCCATCCCCTCTGCCCCCCATCCCACCTCCCCTCCATCCCCACCGCCCCCTCCATCCCATCCGGTGATCGCCGGGCCGTGCTGGGGGTGGTCATGGGTGACAGGAGCTCAGGGCAAGGTCCGCTCGGGGACAGTGCCCGTACAGAGGTGCCAGCGCTTCCCGGAGCGTGGCGGTGCCGGGCTGCCCTTCATCGCCACGGCCACCAGAGCTGCAGGGACAAACAACCCCGCACAGCCACGGACCAGACAAAACAGCTGGAGCATCACCCAGGAGTCTGGGCACTTTCTGAGATTGCGGGGAAAAGTAAAATAATAATTTTAAAAAGCACCCTCCGGTCCCAGCCAGCCCCAGCAGTGCCGGGCAGTCGGGGGCTGCAGTGCTCAGCACAAAAAGCACAAACCTCCCCCGTCCAGCCCTGGAACCCCGAGGTGGCCGTGCCGAGCGCTAGGGCCACCTCCTGCACCGGGTGACAAACAGACCCAAGGGCTGGTGGGAAATGGGGCTACTGTACCCACTGCTCAGCTGGTCCTAAAGGACATTAACAATGATAGAAACCGTGCTTGGGAAGTATGGAGAGTATGATGGATTTGGAAAGGGAGCAGGGAAAGAGCAGCAGGTGTTTTAGCTCTGCGCTGGAGGTGGAGCGTTCCCTGTGCCGCTCCAGCGCCCGCCGGGCACCCTGGGGCCGGGCCGAAGTTCATGGGGGGCGGCTGCCCCGGCCCCTCTCCCCTCCCCGGGCTCGGCCATCGCCGCCCCCCGCCTTCAAAAGCGGCGGGGCCGGGCCGTGCCCGCGGAGCGCGATGGCAGCGGGGCCCGAGGCGGGCCGGGAGTGCGGGATCTGCTACGAGGCGTACTGGGGAGCCGGGGGGGGCCCGCAGCAGCTGCCCTGCCGCCACTCGCTGTGCCAGCGCTGCCTCCGCAGGCTCGTGTGCCGCGCCGCCACCGTGGCCTTTGTCAGCTGTCCCTTCTGCAGGATGGTGACGCTGCTGCCCGAGCTGGCCCCGGCGGTGACTCCGGACCCGGGCACCTCGCTCGGGGAGCAGCAGCAGCAGGAGAACAGCGGCGGTGCCAGCCCGGACCTCGGGCAGGGCTCGCCGCGCTCCGTGGCCGCTCTGTGCTCGTCCCACGGCGCCGTGTTCGCCGTGAGCAGCTCGGTGTCCCCCTGCGGCCTCCGCCGCGGCTCCGAGGCCCCGCACGCCTTCGTGCTGGGGCTGCTGGGCCGGGGGCTGCTGCTGGACACGCAGCCCCCGCTGGCCTCCATGGAGAATCTGCGCCTCGGCTTCGCCGCCGGCATCCTCGTGCTCATCGTCTCCACCTTCTTCCTGCTCGTCTTCCTCAAGTAGGTCCGGATGGCGGAGGGGGGCTCTCATCCCATGGGATCCCAGTGGATGCACCCGGTCAGGGACTTCTCGGGCCGTGGACAGCTCGGTGGGCAGGGCCAGGGCCAGGGCTTAGCACCTGCCTGGATCCAGCCCTGGGGCCCGCAGGACGCTCGGCTGCCCCGCATGAGAGCTCTCGGCCATCAGACTCTTTAAAAATTAACTTATTGCAGCGCTTCCCTCGCCGCGGGGCCTGGCTGTGCTCACGCTCCGTCCCGGCCCCGCGGCTCAGCTCGGCGGGAGGCGCAGCGTGGGGCCGGCACCGGAGCATTCCCCGGAGCATTCCCCGGAGCAGCGTGGGGCCGGCACCGGAGCATTCCCCGGAGCATTGCCCCGGAGCAGCGTGGGGCCAGGACCCGAGCATTCCCCGGAGCAGCGTGGGGCCGGCACCGGAGCATTCCCCCGGAGCATTCCCTGGAGCATTGCCCCGGTGCAGCCCCGCCAGCAGCGGGGATGAGCCGAGAGGGACGGGAAAGGTCCCGCAGCGCTGCCCTGGGGGCGAAGCTGCTCCAAGGCGACTCAAAGGCCTTTCCCGGGAGGAGAGCCCGGCGCGGTGCCCGCACAGGGAGGAGGCAGCCGGGGAAGGGCTCAGCCCCTCAGAAACACGAGACATTAAACCAGACATGGGCCCAGCACTGCGTCCGGGTGTTTTTCTGTGAGTCCAAGAGCCTCGGCAGGCAGGGCAGGGCTCAGCACCAGGGCCAGGATGGAGCAGGGGCTCCTCTCCTTCCCAGCCCCCAGCAACCCTCTAGGGCACATCCTCAGCAAAGTCCTCCGTGCTTCACCCCCCTCTGGCCAGGACTCAGTACCCGGGATCAGGATTAGCCCCATCACAGCCCCTGAGGCACATCGGCCTCTCTGACCCTGGCACGTCCCTCCCTCCTTCCCGAGGCTGCTCTGCCCTGGCAGCCCAGAGCTCTCCCTTTCAGCCAGGCAGGTGCTCACACAGGCACAAAGGACAGAAAGGGTTAATTTAGATCCAGAGCCTGAGTCGAGGCTCAGGTTCTCTCTGAGGCAGAGGGAGCTGCCAGGGTGCAGAAGGGGTTCTGGTACCTGCTGGGGCTGAAGGGGGACAAGTTTCAATCCCAACTCTTGCACCCTAATCCCTGCTCAGGGCTCCCAGCACAGAAGAGCTGGACCTTGCTGCAGCCCCAGAGCAGCGCAGGGGGCACTGGGTTCTGCAAACCCCTGGAGATGCCCAAGATCCCCTCCCCCAAAACCTGAGGGGAACCATCACAGTTCTTTGTGCTGCAGCTTCCCACACCAGCACAGGCCAGTGTGAGAGCCCAAGGAACCAGAGTACAAAGGGACCTTCTCTCCTCTCCAGGAGAGGGCTTCAGCAACAAGAACACATAAAGAGGGAATAATTTGATCTAGAAGCTGTTAAGTCAGAGCTAAGTCAGTTTTCAGGTGACACATAAAGCCAGACTAAAGTAAAGTGCAAGCAAAAAAATACAGGTTTAATTGCACTTTATTTTCCAAGAAGTGAAATGCAAATCCCTCAGGGCGTCTATCTGAAACAGGGAACAAGAAGTGGAACTTGTTAGTATGAACAATGATTGCTCCTGGGACACTGCATGGACGGGGCCAGGGGCCACATCAGGGCACTGACACTCAGAGCAGCACAAGCACCCCAGAAAATCCAGTTTCAAACACCCTCATAATATTCAGCACTGAGTAATGCCCAGGAAGGCCCAGCTCAGGTCACCCTACATGGAAGCAGGGTGGCTGTCACAGGCTTTGGTCTCTGCCCCAATTTCAGCTGCATTTGGCAATTTGTGGCACTGAGGGTAGGGCACAGGGACCTGCCATACCCCTCCCCCCCAAAAGCCACACCCAGTGTTCATTTGGGGGTTTTCCTCCCAAGAAATCACCTTTTGGGGGACACAAGTCTAATTCCAGTCAGAAACTGTAAAGGCAGGTGTAGAAACTAAACCGTAGAATTAGTTTTAAGTCCTTTCATTTTATGAAGGGGTTTATTTGTTTTAAAGACTCCTGGGGTGAAGTTGTGTTAGTGCCCATGAGTGCAGTATAAAAGTGCTGTGAGAGCCTGGGGCTGTGTGCCCAGCTCTGTGCTCACTCCTTTCCCCTCCTGGTCCCCGGAGAGTGCAGGGTGACATCCAAACTGCTCAGCCCGGGCTTGTGTCCCACCCCTCTCTACACAGCATAACGGGTGCTGGGATGGTCACATTTTAACAGCAGCAGAGCCAAAGGCACGGGAGAGGGGCTGGGCTGTGGGGAAGGACTTCCCAAACACGCAGCACATCCCAGAGCTGTGCTGCTGCTCCACAGAGAAACACAGCCCAGCAAAAACCACAGGAGAGGAGGTGCCTGAGTCACTAACACAACAGGGATGGGGCTCCTTACCCATCACAGCTGCTCAGGCCCTGGGTTAGCAGAGCTCCAAGGGCCAGCAGCACCTGTGCCACAGCTCAGTCAGTGCCCACCTGAGCCACCTCAGCCCCCAGGGCTCCCCATGCTGCTTGTGCAGAGCCAGGGACTCACAAGAAACACTTGACTGGGATTCCTGGGGGAACATCCAGTGGCTCATGGCTCAGACACAGTGGGGAGAGGGTGCAGGGTCCCTGGGAGCCACCCTGGGGACTAAGGGAAATATTCCAAGGAGTTAATCACTGGGGAAGGAGATTTTAGTTTGATTTTTTAAACAGGATATTGCCACTGCAGGGTCCTGCCAGACTTGCTCTGCTGACGCTCTTCACCAAGTTCCTATTTGCATAAAGTTTGAGGTTAATGAATCCAGGTCTCAGGGGAGGGGGACAGTGGGTGGCTCCTGCACTCAGCCCAGCCCCAGAGTGTTTGGCAGCTCAGAGTGATGGGGCTGAGCCCCCACGAGTACAAAGAGCCTCCTGGTGCCAGCCCCCATCCATCTGCAGGACAGGAGCTGGGAAATCCCTGGTCATTCCCAATGTCCCACGTGTGCAGCTTGCCAAGGGCTCAGAGCACAGGAAGAGGCCATGCCCAGAGGAGAGGGCTCAGCAGCCACATCTTCATCCCAGCCAGTCCAGGTCATCATCATCGTCGTCACCAAAGAGTGGAGCGGGAGGGGGACGCCCCTTCATGCTCTGCAAGGCACACCAGGGGGAAACTGGTCAGTCCCAACAGCTTCCTGATTTCATAATCACTGCACAAACTGCTCTGGAATCTCTGCCAGCTTTGAGGAGCTGGGAACTAGAAGCTTCATTACCCAAGTTTTTATTTCTCATGTGATGGTTTAGATTTGATAGCAGGAATAAATTCTCGATGGAAAGGAATATAAAGCATTGGCACAGGCTGCTCAGGGCAGTGTGGAGTCACCATCCCTGGAGTGTTCAAAAAGTGGATGGATGTGGTACTTGAGGAATGGTTCAATGGTGAATGATGCTACATGGATGGCTAGAATTGATCATCTTAAAGGTCTTTGCCAACCTTAAGGATTCTGTGGTTCTGTGATTCCAGGAGCTGCTTACAGGCTAAAAGGGACTGGAGAGGGGCCAAACACTAAAACTCTTCAATTAACCTGGCAAGTCCCACTGATTTCATGCCAGCAGGAGCCTGTCACCACTCCCTCAGCCAAGCCAGCCCCTCCCAGCTCAGTCACCAATCCCAGACACTCCTGATTTACACAGGGAATGGATGGGGAACTCTGAGCTCAGCCAGGCCCCCACTGCCACATGGAGGATTTTACAGACAAGCTACAGACTGTGCCTCAAACAGAGCAAAGTCCCAAACACCCAAATACATACCACTTCCTCCTCATCCTCCTCTTCAGGGGGAACTTGAGGCTTCAGTGGTTTAGGAGATGCTGTTTCAAAGAAGTTGTCATCCTCAAAAAGGCTGCAAGGAGATAAAAGAATGAGCAGCTGGCTCTCAGAGGATGGGATTTGCTTTTACAAGTTCTGTTACTGAGAGATGGCAAAGCTTTGTCACTGAGGGCAACCATTGTGGCAGGTACTGTTCAGCAGTGCAGGGCAACTCTGGGACCTGGCAGGCACCAGGATCTCTGCACAGAACTGCACACTCCCCTGGGAATGTTCTCCACTGCCTCCAGCAGACACGAGGCCACTCTGGGGATGCTCCCAGTGGAATGTACCCTGGGTAGCCTGGTCTGTGCCAGGTCCTGGCTGCAGCCCCAGCCTGTGCTGTCCTGCAGCAGGGACACACCTGGAGCAGCCCCTGGGGCTGCTGCAGTCCCAGCCCCAGCTGAGCCTGGCACCCAGCACCAATCCTCACCTGGAATCTGTGTGCCTGGGGCTGGAGCCCAGTTCCTGTGATCCTGGAGTTTCTCCCAGGACAGCTGAGCCTGGCTCTGCTCTGCTGGACACTGAGGCAGGTTCCTGCTCTGAGCCAGCTTCATCCCACGGGTCTGTGCCACTCCCTTCCTCCCCATTTAAGGGAGGAGGCTCTAAACCTCCCACAGTCTGCTCCACAGCTGGATGTGCTGGAAGCACTGCCTCATCCACCTCTCCTGCCTTGGCTCCTGGAACAGAAGGTTCTGCAGCTTCTGCCTGCAAAGACACTGCAGAGGGACCCTGCTCTGGGTCAGCTTTCCCGATGGCAACACTGTCCAGCCCCTGCTGCAGCCCGGGAACAGCCTGTCCTGCAAGTGCAGGCCCCTTCTCAGCATCCAGGCTGCCATCAGCTGTGGGAGGGAGATGCTCCTCCTGAACTTTCTCTTCTTCTGTCACCCTCCTGCTCGGTGTCTCCTGCTCCTCCTCAGGAGCTCTGGGGCTGGCAGGGTGAGGAGCAGCCTGGCCTTCCTGCTCAGACTCCAGGGAGCCCCTGGTCACTTCCCCAGGATCAGCTGGGGGTGCAGTGCTCTGTGCTGGGCTGTGCTGCAGGGGCTCTTTGTGCTCCGTCTTTGCTCCAGGTGATCCCTCCTGTTTCCCTGCTCCTGTGCCAGATTCCTCATTTTCACTGCCATGTTCTGGTTTCTCCTGCTGTCGGTTGAGCAGCTGCAGTGTCACAGTCTGGAAAAGGGAGTAGAGAGAACACTGGTTATACCCTAGATACAAACATCACAGATCCCTGCAGCACCTCCTCCTACCAGGCTGCTTTGCCACCCACAACAAATTCTCCTTCAGTTATTTCAGTCTCACAGAAAAGATTTGAGGAGTTAGCCCAAGGCTCTCTCTCTTCTCTCACCAGTGTCATACCTTGATAGTGTTCATGACAACCCCCAGGACTGTCCTGCCACTGTACATCTCATCCAGCTCAAATTCACCCCGAAGAGACTGAAATACTCCATTCATTATCTTCTTTACCTGCAAAAGAGCACGACAGGAAACACAGATACAATTCATTAGCATGTGAAGCACTGAACTCAACATCAGGCACTTCTCCAAGGGAAGGAACAATAAATCCAAACACACACAGGTGGCTTTTCAAAAAATCTACCTTCCAAACCAGAAATCCTCACCACATCAGGCCACCTTAACTCAAAACCACTCTGTATGACCCAAACTTATCCCCCCAAACTGAGGCAGGCTGCACAAAGCCAAGGTAGACTGGCACCTCTTACTTACTTTAGTTTTTATATATTAATCTCAAATGTAGAGTTTTAACAACAAGAAACAAAACTCAGGCAACAAAGTGGGCAGCAGAAAGATGGAGTGAGGCTGTTTACAAAGGATGGAGGGACAGGACACAGGGAATGGCTCCCACTGCCAGAGGGCAGGGCTGGATGGGATATTGGGCAGGAATTGTTCCCTGGCAGGGTGGGCAGGCCCTGGCACAGGGTGCCCAGAGCAGCTGTGGCTGCCCCTGGATCCCTGGCAGTGCCCAAGGCCAGGCTGGACATTGGGGCTGGGAGCAGCCTGGGACAGTGGGAGGTGTCCCTGACCATGGCAGGGAATGGAATGGGCTTTAAGGTCCCTTCCAACTCAAATCATTCTGTGTGACCATGATTCTATGACAAGATCCCATCCTTTCTTCCTCTGTGGACTGTTACTACAAACACAGTGCTCTGTGGAGAAAATTGTATTTTTCCTTTATATGTCAGTTCAAAGAGAAATGATTCAAGGTAAATCCATTTGTTTAGGAAGGAGTCAGGCTCACTTGCTCTGTGAAGTCTGCAGGGGAAGATCCATCCTGATCCTTCTGCAGGTCTCGGATCCGTTCCTCGTATCGAGCCTTCAGCACCAGCACGTCTGCCTGCAGGGCTGAGTACTGCCAAGGGAAAGCCACCCTCAGAGCTGCTCCTCACACCACACCTCACCTGCAGGGCTCACCTGGGCAGGCTTTTAGTGAGGCACTGAGTGGAGTTTTAAGCGAAAGACTTGGCTGAAAGCAACAGCACCAAAATATGGACACCCCAGCCAGCCTTGGTAATCACAATTGTGTCGTCAGCTCCTCAAGTGCCACCAAGAATAGGTGGGTGCAGCATCACTGAGATCCCAGTGAGACAAAGGCTGGGTCTCATTATTGGGCCTGTTCTGGTTTGCTGGAAACCACATGGAATTATCCCTTCCCTACTATATTCTGGAACTCCCATCCTTGTTATTCTGGACACACCTGAGGCTGGTGTTCCCTGCTCTCCAGTTCCCATCCAGCTGCTGTGTTATTCCTTTACCTTCTCCTGGATAGGCTCCAGTTCCTCCAAACGTTGCTGAACCTCAGACAACTTTTGCTCCTCTGCTTTTTTTGAGTGTTTGAGAGCTGTGAGCTGAAATACAAGAACCAGAGCAGGTACAGCCCCTGGCAGTGTCACCCACTCCAAACAGCCTCTGCCCACCCACAGCCACTCAGGACAATGCAGAGAAGTTGAAGTTGTAGCTGTTGCTGTAGCTCAGCACTATCAGTACCTTGGCTCTCCCTCCTCCATAAACCCACCAACCCAACAGAAAACTGCACGTGTAGAAGGCCCAGAACAGGCAGGAAATTACAAAGTCAAGGTCACACTTCTCCAAGTGGGAGAAGACTGTTGGTTACAGCTTCTGGCATTCAGTACCCATTATAACAACAAGGACAGTCCTTTACCTTCTCTTCCAGCTGGGCCACCTGGTGCTGCAGGGAGTCCCTCTGCTCACACAGCTCCTGGCACTGCCTGCTGTGCTGCTCCTTGGCTGAGGCCAGGGCACGCTCACATTTGGCTTCACACTGGGACTCCAGCTCTGCCTGGAGCACTGACAGCTGCCCATGGCATAGGAGAGACCATCAGGAACACACACACACACACACACACACACACACACACACACAGAATCTGTGTTTGCACAAGAGGTGAAAGCCCAGGGCTGGACACTCACAGACAGAGTGCTCACTTCAGCTCCAGCCACAAACCCCCAGGCTGGCCAGAAGGTCTGGCTCAGATTTCAGACCTCTTGGCATATTTCTAAACAACCTTTCACTCCTCACAAGTCCCATATTCTTCTCTACTACAATCTCAATTTGGTGCCTCTCCTTTCCTCAGTTTGACACTAACCCATGAATTCAAGCAGGCAATGCCTTCATTCTTCCCCTACCTGAGCATTTTCACATCATTTCCTACCTGGAGGCTCCCACAAGCCCTCCAGACGTGGAGCAGCAGCTCCCCTGAGCCCTCACCTGCTCTGCTGCTGCCTGGTCAGTCGAGGTCCGGGCCTTTTTCAGCAGCTGCCGGAGCTTGTCCAGCTCCTGCTGGTACGACCTGCGAATCTCTTCCATCTCTTCCTCTGCCTGAGCTCTCTCTGACAGGGATTTCTTCTTCCTCTCTGCAAGATTCTGCAATACAAAACACGATCTAGAATAGTCCAGACTGCACCAAAGCAGCTTTTCTCCCTCAGGCAGAAGGAGGTTCTTTGGGCAGGGAACTTCATCCCTTGAAATCAAGCTGAGGTTATCTCAGAGGTAAGGAAGGGTGACATTACTGGGTTAGACATTAAATAAATAAATAAAACCCCACATAAGCACATAGCATCCAGCAGCCTGCAGATGAGTCAAGATTTACTTAACTTACATATTTCAAAGCAAGAACCTTGAGTTAGCTTTTAGTAAACAACTGAAAGTCTGTTGCTGGCACTGGCCATACCCTTTCCAGAGTCTCCTTTTCCACTCTCAGGTCTGTGAGCTCTTCCTCCAGTGCTGCAATCTTCATATCCAGCTGTTTGCGACTCTGCTTCTCAGCCTTGAACCTGCTCTGAGTGTCCTGAGAGGCTTCTTGGAGCTCTGCAAACAAACCCCCACATTTCCCTGTGAGTTTGGGTGCAACTCCCATTGCAGGGGAGCACATTTTGGAGGCTGATGGGGAAGAACAGGGTCTCCTGCCCAATGCAGTCAACAACTCTGCTTGTGCCTGCAGTGGGGACTAGATTTATCAAGAGCAGCCTGTTCCAATGCTTTGCAACCATTTCTATGAAGACTTTTCCTAATATCCAACCTAAATTCCCACTGGCACAACGTGAGGCCATTCTCTCTCCTCCTGTCCCTGTTCCCAGATCCCAAATCCCCCCCGGCTGTCCCCTTCTGTCAGGGAGTTGTGCAGAGCCACAAGGTTCCCCCTGAGCCTCCTTTTCTCCAGGCTGAGCCCCTTCCCAGCTCCCTCAGCCTCTCCTGGGGCTCCAGACCCTTCCCCAGCTCCATTGCCTTCCCTGGAATTGCTCCAGCCCCTCAATGTCCTCCTTGTCATGTGGAATACAGAAGTGACCCCGGGATTCAGGCTGGGGCCACAGCAGTGCCCAACACAGGGGAATAAATGAACACCTCCGGTTTATCTCAACTTTCCATCCACTGGAACATCTCTGGCTGCTCTACAGGATGTTGGACAGAAAAGCCAAGAGATTGTTCTATAAAAGGCATCCCTAGAACAGGATGATTTTATTTGTTGAGTTATCCCACTTTGCCTTCAGTGCTGACAAAGATGCACTTCCCTCAGATATTTCAGTGCATCCATATCCTTCTTCCATCCCTGGTGACTGATCCTAGGGAAAGCAGGAAGATACCCCAGAAGACAGGAAAAACCTATGACTTAGGAAAGAAAAGAGCCATGAAGGAGCTCTGAGGGACAAGCAGGAGCAGCCTCACCTGCCACCTGTGCCTGCAGCTTGTTGAGCTGTGCCTCCTGTCTCTCTGCATCCTGCACAGCACAGGACAGCTGCTTCCTCAGGTCCATCTCCTTCTTCTGGTGGGCAGTGAGCTCCAGCTGCAGCTGGGAAACCTGGGCTGTGGCAGCTGCCAGCTCCTCTGCAACTTTGGCCTGGAGCACAAAATGGGGCAGGGAAAAGGGAGGGGGGAAAAATGGGATGTGTGAGGAAGGAGCAGAACTGTTCTCTCAGGAAAAGCTGGAAAAGGGTTGGAGGCCTCATCAGGGAAGACATCTCCACATTGAGGAGGTAACAATGACTTCTTTGCCATGTCAGTTTTGTCCAGACTGACTAGAAAGCTGCACGAGGCCACCAGCAACCTCATCATCACATCAGTTCAACCCAGTGAGTTTTCCTGAAAAGGTTAATGTGTGTAAGCCTGGTACCAGTGCCTGGTGCCTCTGCTCAGTTTTCAGGCTATGAAAACATCTATTTGAGTAAAAAGCCCAGCCTCCAACATCTAATTGTTTTCCATAAGCTTACAAATCCCAGAAGAGCCACTTAAAACACAGGCTGGTCCCAGGCAAGAGAGCACCTTGTCCCCAGAGCACACAGCATGAGGTCACCTCAGCTGCCAATGGGTAAGGCTGGCATTTCCCAGCACAGCTCTCAGTCATTTGGGGACTTGTTTAGATTTAGGATTGCTGAGAGTCAGTGATTCACCTAAAACCAGGCACTAGCACAGCTTGTTAGACAACGTGTAAACAATGTTAGCAGGGGCTCAAGGCATCAAGACAGACACAAAGTCCCATTCCCAATCTTGTTGAGTGACACACAAACTTCAGAGGATGCTCTGCAAAGACGGAATTTACACAGGGAATCCCTAAACAGCTTCCACACCTCTGCCTATTTTGAGATTCCCAACAGATTTTTCACATTCTTGTAACAGGTAAGGTCAGGAGAACTGGATTTGCTCTCTGCTTTATCCCACTAAGAGAATTCCCTCCACATAAAGATCAACACCTTCTGGCACAGAAAAGCTGGAAGCAAAATTGTTCCAACTATGGTGATGATGGCATCCTGACCTGGAGGGCTGGGATACCACACCACTCATTTAAAGAGGAGGCAGCATTTCAGAAAGTGGCCAAAACCAGATCTGCTTTCCTCTTGTGCTTCCATACATGTCCCACTGCAATACTGACTCCTGGCACTCTAAAGTCAAGCCCCATGGCACAACTAAAGTCATCTAAAAGTTATTTTAACCTTGACCTCTGTCTTTAATGGCAAATAAAGAAAATAAAATTAGGAAATCCTATGGCAGTAAGGGTTACTAGACAGAAGTTTCTACAGAGGATGCTTCATGTCCACAGCTCAGCTCCAGCCTCCAGCTTTCAGGCACCAAGAACCCTGGGTGAGCTGTACCTGCTCTGACAGTGATCCTGTTCTCCCATGGGGAGTGGGACAAGCAGCAATGTGACAGAATTCTTGGAAAGGGCTCCCCAAGAAAGAGGGGGTCAGTGGGGGGACACTGCCAGACTGAAGCCCTTTTCCCAGTGAAGGATCTCTGCTCACTCAAGCTCTGAGACAATTCTTTTCATGCCAATCAGTTTCTAGTTCAAGAGGAAGCTGGGCTGGCACTACCTAGGGCACAACCATCTACCACCTACACAGTCAGCAGACACTGCCTCACCTGGTCCCAGCCCCGATCCACTGGCAGCATGTGCTGGGAAGAGAAAGCAGCGACAGGAAACAGGAAGGGTTAAGAACACAACTTGAAAGGCAAAGGCATTCATCAGCAGAAAAGCACAATGCTTCATAGCAGGAGCCTAAGGCATGCCAGAGAAGCCTTTAAATTACTCCAAGAACTGTAAAAGCCTAGACAGAAAAAGGGAATGAAGCCTGATGTAAAAGGAAGACACTAAAGGTATCCTTGGGTATGTGACACACCAGAGGTGGGAGCAGTCCTGGCTGTGACCTGCACTGGAGAGGTGGGGAGTTACTTATGGTTCACAAAACCTTCACCTAAAGCTGGGACTTGCTCTGCCAGGGCCAGAGATTCATAACCCAAAAGCAGAGTTACCAACAGCTCAGTGATCCTGTGTACAGCCAAATAAATGGTGAGTGCCTATCTGCGTGTAAACAATGGATAAAACAGCTTCCAGTCCTCTTCCCTGGTTCTGTCTGTCCCTGGGGATTCAGTGACTGCAGTCCCAGGGCAAGCTGGGGTAGATAAAGGCAACAGGAAGGAATATCAGCCTTCATATTTCCAGTCAATAGTCCCACAGAACCAGGGGAAATATCCCAGTGCAAGTCAGGGCTTTCCTGGTCTGGCCTGAAGCCTGTTCATGTAACATCATCCCTAAGCAGTCACTGCTCAGTCAGTGGGGTCCTGCTGAAGATGAGGCCCAAAAGACTCCCAAGGATCTTATACTTCCAAAAGATGATTCCTTCCCAAGTTTTATTGTACCAGCAGGATGCTGTCCTCACTGAGAAAGGAATTGAATTTATTATTTCAGTCTGACTCATTCCTGGATAGAATCTCTCACACATATTGTGGGTGTGCAGCCCCTTCCTGTCTGCTCTCAGCACTATCAGCTCTTCCCTGCTCTGCTCTTTACCACATTTTGGAAAGCTGCAGTTCTGGTCAGTTTTAGGTGCACCAAGTTATGGTTCTCACACAGAGGAAGCATTTGTCACCTCAGTTTTGAACTGGACAAAGACAACTCAGCAGGAGAGCACAGAGCAAGACTGAACTTGGTGTAATTTAAGAAGCCAGTGCTTGAGAAAGCAGAGCAGGCATCATGCAGTGGCAGAGCCAGAGCAGCACTCCTGGGCTAGGCTGGCCTAGGGATGGTTCAGGATATGCAGCCATGCATAAATGCAATTCACTGGTTTAAAAGCTACTTCCCAACAGTTCCTGTCATAAAAGCACAATGTGTTACTGGGAGAAACAAACAGCTTCTTATTAGCATTAAAAAAAAGCACAAAAGTGCAGTGAAGAAACTCCAGCGGGAAATATTTTTTCTTGTATCTATACTCACTCTATGTCAGTTATGTAAGAGGAATAAAACACTTCTGGAACTATCAGTGCAACTAAATAACTGAAGTACTTCCAACTCAAAAGCCCTGTGATACACAATTCCTCAACACATTGGCCACATGCCTACACAGTTAACAATAAATCAGACACTTTCCTACAAGATAAGAATATTAAAGTTATACCAGCATGAAATGGTTGTATCCTCTGTGATGCTTTGGTCATAAAAGTCATCAAACATCCATTTTTTTTCTCAAAACAAAGTTCAAAACTGCATTTGCCTTCTAAGAAAATTGCCTTGACTAACAAGCTTTGTTTCAATGCAGCAATCCTGGCACTGCTCATGCCACCATTACCTTCTCCTGCTCTGCATGCAACACTCTTGCCTGTGTGCTCTCATTTGTTGTCTGCAGGGAGTGGTTCCTCTGCTCCATCAGCAGGTTACTCTGCTCCACATACCTGTGAACAGAGAGACTCTGTGGGCATTCCTGGACACACAGGGCTTGGAGCCAAGGGCTCAGACAGAAAAGGTGACATTCCAAAGTACAGAACTTCTGCTGAATTCATGATAATTTTGCAGGATATGCTACACTAAGAGGCTGATCTCAGAGGGGTGGGAAGGCTGTGCCTGGCACAGCAGAGATTTTATCAGCAGAGATTTTATCAGCTTCACCTCTCTGAAAATGTCTCATGTTCCAAGAGTTTTGATAACTTAGTATCAAGCTGAATTTCACAAAGGGCACAACATCCCCTACAATTACTTCACCTCACTAAAAAGCCAGCAAAAATAAAGCAACTCCCAGAAGCAGGGCAAGCGTGCTCAAAGACAACATGAGGGATTTTGTTCCCTTTTTACACATTTATGTTTTCTGTAAATCAGAGTTTTGGGGATAAGCCCTGCAGAGAAGGGGTGGGAAGAATCCCACACTTTCAATGCCTTAGAAAAAAATTTAAAATATCAGAATATGGCTGTCTCCTAACAAACAGCCCTCAGTTATGCCCAAGGGTAAGCTGGAGAGGCTGGAAATGCAATGAGGCTTCCAGCCCTTACCTCTGGTTGCGTTCAATCAACTCACTGATCTTCTCATTCTGCTCCTCAATCCGACTGCTCTTCTCAAATATCTCCTGCTTCAGTCTCTCATTCTCCTAAAGCACAGCTCAGCATGAATATTCAGCTTACTCAGATCTCCTTGCAGCACTTCCTAACCCTTTGTTTTGCACAGATGCAGGACAGTGGTGATGCTCATCCCTTCTGTAGTAACAGCCCAGGAAGGCACCGTGCCACATTTAGCAGAATCCTGGCACAGGAACATGGCTGCCAAATCTCATTCGAGAAAATATTGTGTCTGGTTGGCTTTTTTATCCACAAACCCCAAGATTTTAAGACTGCTGCTTTAAAAGGCTTCAAAGCATAAAATTTAGTAGTGAATAGCAGAAGCAGGTGGTTTCTACAATGTGATACTTCAAGTGTGGAATTGCTCTGCTGGAGACTGGGGGTTAAATCCATAATGGTTTGAGAAGCTGAACTTCTCCCACGTGAACCTTTTGTCAAGGCCTATGAAATACCCACAACTCTGACTCAGAAAACACCTAAACCTCAAAATGCTGAGAAGAGCTTTTTGGAGGGGGAAAGAGGGATGGAAATCATTTTAAGTCTCATCCTCATTCTGGCTATGCAAAATCAGAACCCATGGGTGGATGAACCAAATATCTTTATACATAAATATCTTTAGGGATAACACTGAGCCCCAGCTCCTGATGGGAGTGAAACCAGGCTGGCCGTGCTCACCTGGATGATGCGCTGGATGTTGCTCATGATCATGGAGGCTTCCATAGTGACAGAGGAGATGCCAGGCAGCAGGGAGCTGTTAGCTGTGCTTTGCTTCTTCAGCTCCTCCACCTGCAGGGATAAAGCATTCTTAAGCCATTTGAAATGAATTTATGGGTGAGGTGAGAGTAAGACACGGGCAAAGAGGCATTTCACTGTTCCTTCTGCTCAGCTGCAGGGAACAGGCACTAAATCAAGTGTGACACCTCCCAGAGGGCAGGGAATCCCTCCAAGCAATGCATCACATGATATTCAAGGCAGTAAAACAATACCTTTCCCCAAGCCTAAGCTTTGTATCTTCACAGCAGCTAAACTGCTGCTGAACTGCTTGATGGTGTGATAATATTGGAATTTTACTCATTTACTGTATCACTTAATGCAGGCATTTAAACAGAGCCAACTGCTCTCAGCACACCTGGAGAGCAGAAATGTCCTGAGCAGCCCCACCTTGGCAGCCAGGTGATCCATTTTATCCACGACTTTGCTCACAGCCAGTCGGATTTCAGTGTTGTGCTGCCGAGCTTCCGTCATCAAAAACGAAGTGACATCTCCAGGTGCTTGAAGGGAAAGGAGAGAGATTTACAGTGACAAGGGGAAGTATCTGCACAGAGACACAGCAAAAGCTGGGCAGCATGAAGCCTGCCAGCAGGAAAGCCACTCTCTGCCCAGAAATAAAAGAGACGTGGTACTTGGAAAACAAATAATATAGATATTTCCCAAATAATCTCAACAGGCAGGTTTGAGTATAGGAAATTCTTGAGCCACGTGACAGCTCAGCTCAACAAGAGCAAAGCCCCCAGACACACCAGAGCAGCAGAGGCACAATCAAAGCACAGCAGTGAAGGCCAGCTCTGAAACTGCACTGAAAAAACAGGCTCCAAGAAAGGCTCAGACACACCCAAGACTTCACCAACTGGGATGACTTAAATGGTTCTTTAGATGCCTTTGGTCCTTCCCAGGTTTTGCCTTTTACACTTCAGTTCTTTCCCTGGCTGCTAAGGAGCTGGTTACTATTACTTTTATTTATAACTGGAAGCACCATCTACAAAATTCCTTTAGTAATACCCAGTCTTAGGAAGACACAAATTCCACTCCCTTTCACACTGTCCAAATCTCTTTAAAGTAAGAAAGAGATGGGTATTTATTGGGAAGTGTTTGGCCCTATTTGGTATTTAAAAAATAAGCATTTATTAAACAGCACAGCTATAAATCATCATCACAAACTGTTTACTGCAGGAATTACAGCCCTCTGAGAAGCAGGTACCTTTTAAAACATACCTTGGTAAGGAGCAGGATACATCTGACCCACAGGCTGGAGTTGAGAGGCAGATGCAGCAGTTTGGGGGTAAGCAAATGGCACTCCTGGATATGCCTTAAAGGACAAGTTAATAGGTTAGAATGTGTTTTGCTATTTCCCCACATCCTCACAGTTTCATTTTTTTTTTCAGTCCAAGAGCAAGGATGATGCTTGAAAGGAAAAAATCCAAGAATTAAGGAGCTGGAAAGTCAAAATACACGATAGTCATTGTGAAAGGAAAAAAATATTTTTCTTTTGAGGGTTAGTTAGTTCCAACCTTCACTCAAACTTCAGCAAAACTCTGTCACCCTACATTTGTGAGAGTCAGATCAGCATGAGATCAGCACCCTCTGGAGTTCTGTTAATTTGAACACCAGTTTATTTCCTAAAATGGGCTCAAAAAGCACAACACAACTTGATTGCAACTTTACTGCTCATTGCTGTAAGTTTTTATTCTATCCACTACAAAACCAGGTATTAAAGCCTTGTTTATCCTTAGTTTAAGAACCCATCATAAAACAGAAAATTAGCCCTTTCTGAATAAATTTTAAGAGGCATATGATGAAAGCCTGAGAATGCCAAAGAGCCACAGAAAACAGTCTGGAATTCTCATCCTTATGTTAAAATCCTTGCTTCCAACAATGGAAAAGATTCAGGAGAAGGGAGAGAAGTGCCAGTATTCTCCTTTATTTCATTTTGGTACCTGAAAGCCCTGTGCTCCTCCAGGCAAAGCTGAGTGGGGCTGGATTGTTGCAGGAATTAAAGCAGCAGAAGATACTGAAGGTGCAACACCAGATGCTTGAGGTACTGGAAAGGAAGAAATAAATTCAGCATGCTATAAAGCAGCTCAAAATAATTTAATTCACCTAGTGTGAAAGGGCAAAACAAACCAACAAACCACTAAATAGACAAAAGTTTAACAAAAGCCTGTCTGCAACCTTATGAAAATTAAATCCAGTCAAGCAAGTGATAAGAGGTCAAGAAAAGAGTAACCTTTCCCAGAAATCCCACTTCTGGCTCCATTTAAACACCCTCTTTTCAGTCCAACAGAGACAGCTCTGAAGTTTATTGACACAAGGCATGACTCAGACTCTGAAGGCTGCTCAGCTGACCAGCAGCTGATGTGACCATTCCATCATGGGAAGACACATCCAGCCCTGCAGAGCTGCCAGTCTCATGCTGCCCTTCACTTGGATTTCCATCATTCCTAGAAGTACTGTTCACAGGGAGAGGATTTGTAGCATTTGTAACATTCCATTTACAGATCCCATGGCCTACACATCTCAGTGCTCAGTGACAGGACAGCTCAGGCATGGTGGCTGCTGTCCCTCAAGCACAATGAAGGAACACTCCAAGGATTGTCTTGTCCCCCATGGGTTAGGGCTCATGGATCAGCAATTCTTATCAGAAGCTGTCAGTTCATATTTCAGTTCCTGGAAGGAATCCTCTGTTCCCACAGCCCTCATGGAGTAGAATGGGGGTGCAGCAGCCTCCCAGTACATTACCTTGTGTGGACACTGTGGGCAGCACTGCCTGAGCTGCCTGGGGGGGTCTGCTCGAAGCCACTGGCTGTGTTGTCCCTCTCAGAGTATTGGGATCCTGAAAACATTTTTACATGTTACAAGAAACACCAAAGAATAAGCCAACAGCCTGAGCCCAAGGTCACTTGAGACAAGGTGTGACCTCAGGAACCCAAGTGGAACCTTTCTGTCACAGAACCAGAGCAGATTTCCCTGGACAAGGGCAGAGCCACTGCTACAGATCCTACTTTAAGCAACCCCCAGTGTAGGAAAAGGAGTAAAGGAGTCACAGTGCTGTGACTGGTACCTCTATTTCTGAGTCACTGGAGTCCAGCTGACTCCCTGCTGTCCCAGCAAGGAAAGGCAGCATGGGCTGTCCCATTTTGGCCATCCGAGAAATCAGCTTTGCCTTTGCTACATCTGGGTTCTAAAAGAAACATTTAGTTACTCTCCCTTTGTTGAGACAGGCTTTTGAGGTATTACAAACACTTCTATATCTCTCACTGAATTTTGACTCAGTTTTTGAATGACTGTGTGAAAATCTACTCTTCAAGCACACAAGACAGCACCAGGGATGTTAATCTGGCTTGTTTTATATATCCCCTTTCAGGGATGACAGTGCTGTCACTACAGACAAAAATCTATCCCTGCATAAAACGCCAACAAGAAAATGTGTGAGTTCAGGAAGCTGCTTAGCAGCTTTTTCTGTCTGGAGGCACAAAGTCTTCTCATGCAGCTCTATAAACTTATCCTGAATGTCCCAATTCCTTTGTTATCTATTTTAAATTTGTCCATTTATCTCAAAAGACAACCAACCTTGTGAACATCCACATGGTCAAGGTCACTTTGCAATTGAGAGTAGGAACTGGGGCTGGGGTGCCTTAGGTCCTGGTAATCACAGAATCATTAAGGTTGGAAAAGACCTTTAAGGTCATGAAGTCCAACTGTTAATCGAGTCCAACCATTAATTCCTTCAAAAACAAGGCCCTAAGCTGCTGTAAGGTGAACATTCCAGTGTCCTGCATGATGCTCACTTTATCTTCAGCAGTACCCAGTGCTTAAGGTGAAAATAAACTTCTCTACTCAGGCTTCAAATTAGGAAAAGCCAGCACTTACTGCAAGCTGCTCACTGATGGAGTTGGACTTGGCCCGAACAGCTGGCTCCCTGCAAAGTCAAATGTGGAGATTAAATACACCTCTTCCTAGGAAAGCTGTTTTCCCATATAATGAGCATTTCTTTTAGCCTACACTTCTGGAACATTCTCTACAGTGTTATCTGTAGATATGTTCAGGACACCACTACGGCCTATTGGAACAGCTGACTACAGAAAACTAATTTTGTTGATTGCTTTAATAACCACATTCTGGTATAAATAAGTTTAACCAAGTCTAATAACAAACTACTTATGGCAACAAGAGCAGCACTTACTTGGACTCTCTAAAAAGGGTGACTGACCCATTTAATTTAAGGAACAGATAATTGTTAAGGTTGGAAAATACATCTAAGATTGAGTCACCAACCACTAACCCAGCCCCAGCATGCTCAGCACTAAACCCCATCCCCAAGTGCCACATTTGCATTCTTTGAACACCTCCAGGGATGGTAACTCCACCCTGGGCAGCCTGTGCCAATGCCTGTCAGTGAAGGTTTTCCTAATACCCAGCATAAACCTCTCCTGGAGTAACTTAGAGGTGATTTCCTCTCCCCAGTCACTTATTACCTGGGAAAAGAACCTGACCCCACCTGGCCACACCCTCTTTTCAGGGAGTTGTGGAGATTGAGAAGGTCCAAACTGACAACAATGATGAGACAGCTGCTAGAGCAGCACCCACACAGCTCAGTCCCACTGGATCTCAGGAATGCTGGAGAGGAATGACTTCCTTCACTGTAGCCCATCCCAACTGCTTTAATCTGGAAATCAGCACTCAAGTAGAAAATTCCAGCAAGTCCTGTTAGCAAGCACTGCTCTGCCACACGGAGGGCACTGAGCTGGCACAGAGGCCCCACGTTTCCCAAATGATGTGTTAGTGCAGCACTGTGGGCACCACCAGCCTTAACACAAAGCTGTTTAAGCTGTGCTGCTTCTTACCCAGGCTTTGGAGGGATGCTGGAGGGAGGCACTAAACCCGTGTCTGAGGAGAAGCCATCTGAGCTGGGCACTGGAGAAGGTGCAGGGGAATCCCTTGAACTGACACTCAGCCCATCTGAACCAGAGCACTCCTTTGCCAGTTTCACCTTAAAAAGCATGAAGCAAAAAAAAAAAAAAAAAAAAGTTTTCTGGGTTCCTGTAAAAGCTTTCATCAATTTATTTATGACGCTACTGCCTGTGGAGCTCCTGTACTTCAAGGAATAGCAGCCAATTGATTCAGAGCTGGAGAAGCTCTCATTCCTCCCACAGTATTTTGTTTTCCCAAGTGACTCACAAAAAAGACAACTAAAAGGTCCCTAAAATCCCTAAAAGACAGAACACACAAACAGCCTTAAGGGATTTTCTGGGTTTAGGGTTCTGTTTTGGGTTTGTTTGTTTGTTTGTTTGAATTAAAGATACACATCTTGCTGAGGTTTCTAACAGTTTCCGAGCTGGAGTTCTCACACTAACAGCAGGTTCCTCCCTCGCAGTCACAGAACAAATGTTAACAAACACCCGGCAGGAGACACTCACCCTCCGGATTTCCACCTCAAACACCAGAGTGGAGTCTGCAGGGACCCGACCAGCCACGCCCTGAGCCCCGTAGGCCCAGGCTGGAGGAATGATAAGGAGCCTTCGCCCTCCTTTCTTCATGCCCAGCATTCCTTCTTCCCAGCCCTTTGGTTTGCACAGGCAAAGGAAGAGAAAGCAACAGGTACATCAGTGACAGCAACACTGTCAGCAACAGTGACATCATTTACCTCAATTAAGACAACTTCAGGCAAAGGTTCCAAAACACATATAGAGAGATTCTTGCAAATTCAACATGCAGCACCAAACCTTTGTCTTGCCACAAATCCTGATAGCCAGTTGTAAATTCCAGTGTTAACTTAAAAATAAAGATGCAGCTCCACCACACAGTGGTGACCACACTCAGCATTCCAGGGAAGAACTGGACTCCAAAGAGATCTGAATTGCTCTGGTTAGATTTACAAAGCAACCAAAGGAAACAGTTGTAATGAGGGACATAAAAGTCAGAGCAATGCAAACTGCCCAAGGGATGCCAGCACTACACAAGATGGCTCTAACAGCCAGGCAAAATTAGCAAGATACAGGATAAAACAGAGTAGACAAATAGCACATCTTCAATAAAAGACAACTTGTAACGGGTCATACATGAATTACTCAGGTCATGGAAGTGACCTGAACAAAAGCATCTCTGACTCAACCGTGATTTTATGGGATAACATAAGCGAATATCATAACACCTGGATGAAAAATTGTTTCCTTTAGAAACAGGGCTCTCCAAGAACTAGGGAATGGATTAAGTGACTTCCAGAAAAACAAAGACAATAAAATCCCAGCTCCTGAAAACAGGAAGTTTCCTTTTTACCAAAGAGGACAACACCTGTCTAACACTGATACTGAAAAGGGGACTGGGCTCTATTGTGCAAAGCTTGAGTGAGTCACTGGCACAGTGTTTGCTAACAAATGATACAGAAAGAGCATATATGAATTCAGAACAAGATCTGCAGTAATTCAAAGTTCTGAGACTTAAATTATTATAATTGAATAATGATAATATTATTATTGAACAATTATAATATAAATTATTTAAAATTACATTTTATATCAAAATCAATACTATATTTTATTAATAATGAGATCGAATATATTTTCCACTATTAATTATAATAATAATTATATAATTGAATAATTATAATACTATAATGAAAGTGGCAGAAGCTGTACCTTGATGACTTTTCCAGATCCCAGCTTCAGCCGCAGCAGCTTGTCTTTGTTTACATTAGAGTCAAACACCTGGAGAGTTGAACAAGAACACAAAATACATGGATTTCCCAGCTGTTTCAAGATTCTGAACGCTGCTTTACACATTCCATAAACTCCCAGAACCTCTGGTTAAATGTTATTTCCCATCCCATTACTAGCAAAATTAATTCTCAGCCATAAGACAGAGCTTTAGTCCATTTCCTGAAGTACAATTTCATGAAGTGAATGCTAACTGCAGACTGGGACTTCAGACTTGCTTTAGGACAGGACTGGCAGAGCAAAACACAACAATAAATATTCATGTGTCAGAGTTATAAACAGAAGTTTAAAGGCATTTCAATCACTTCTCCCTGAACAGAATAACAGAAACATTAAGGTTGGAAAAGCCCTCTAAGAATACCAAGTCCAACCATTCCCCCAGCACTGCCTTGTTCACCACCAAACCACGTCAAGCACCACATCCAGATGGTTTTTGAACAATTCCAAGGATGTGACTCCACTGCTGTCCTGGGCAGCCTGTGCCAGTGCTCAACAACCCTTCCAGTGAGGAAATTTTTTTGTAATATGCCAGAATCCCTTAATATTCTACAGGCAATATATATGACCCCACTTACAGTGCCATAAATGCCCAAAGGATACCTCTAATGATGCCTTTAGTTTTAAGTTTTCCTGTTCTCCTTGGATGTGCTTTTCTGATGTGCTGGGGTGATGTAGACAAAACAGTTCCTATTCCAGTTCAGAACTCAAGGACAGTTTCTCCAGACTTCAGGCCCTAAGCACAAACTACGTGGAAAGGTGGAGGGTGGGTTCATGCAAATAAACCAGAACCAATAAAAGTGTGAGATTTTGTGACCAACCCCTCCTTTCCTTCCATCTTGGAGCCATCCAGGCAGGGGCCACCACTGTGGCACTTCTATTGCTAGGGTGTGGCTTTCGTGGGCCTCACAATAAACACCCATTTTATTTCCTTAACTCTGTGTGTAGCCTCTGTTCCAGCTCCTCAAGGCATCACTAACATCAACACCAGTACTATGCTGGATGTGCAGGTTCCTGCCAGGCACTGTCCCACTCAGCATTAAGAGGTGGCAGAAGTGTCTTTACCTGTCCAAGCCCGTTGTTTTGGAACAGCCATCCCGTGTAGGCAACCTCCAGGGAGTCTCCTCCTTCCACTCCCTGCCCTTCTCCCAGGAGGAGATCCTGGCAGAGGACTGAGTCCAGTGCTGGGGAGCTGTTGCATTTGGCAATGCACACCTGCAGAGGGAAAGCCTGGCAGTATCTCTGGCCTTTAATGGACGAGTCCCACTCACGAATCTGAAGAATTCCTTGCTGTACTGATCCAGCCCACACTAGAAATGCACTCCCTGGGCATTCCACATCTCCTTGTGCTGAATGTTGCTGATTAAACATCCTCTGCTCTACAGAACCATTGATATGCAGTACTTGAGAATCTCGAGAAGGAACAGGCTCCCTGCCTCGAAGAGATTTGTTTTACTGAACAAAGCTCATGGCAGGCTGCTCTCAGATTTGTCTCCATCAGTTATGCAGACACTGAAAGCTGAACTCCATTGAAAATAAACCTTGATTTGTCCCTGCTGTAAACCAGCCATCAAGAACTGGTGGCCCAGAGGTGAGCAGTTACCTGCTTACTGAAATCCACTGCTGCCTTTTCTGACTCAAACATGATGGACCAGTTTTGCCTCTGATCGTCATAGAATGTGCTGTAATTGTTGGGCTGAACCTGTGGGAGAGGAAATCAGTTCTATCTTAGGCATTAAATGTACTAAAAAACCCACATGCAAAAGAAGCTTAAAATAAGAGCTATTAAAATTAAGCAGGAAGAACCCTACTGCTCTACTGCCCAAGTTCAGAATTAGTTTTTATTTATGTGCTCATTATCATGGAGGAATTATTATAACTCAAATATGTGAGCAACTATTAAGTTCTTCCTAGATGCTGCAGTTCACACAGGAAGGTGAATCCTTTCAGAAACTTCCTTGAAGCGTGGTTCTTTTATACATACTGAGAAGTTTTAAGTGCAAGTAACTTTCATTTCATAGTTTACTGTATTTAGGCTTCCAGAATCAATTGGAAAAGTCACTTCTTCCTCACTTCTAAACCCATGTCATCAGAAGTGACTATAAAACCCATTAATTTTTCAAGAATGTGCTTATAAAACTAGAGAGTAAGGTCTAAGCTGGGACAGACATTTCATTATTTTGGAGTGAAATGTCTATCTCTCATACCAAGAAATTTGATGTCATCTGATGACAAACTAAGAACAGTAAACCAACACATCAATTTGCAGTAAAACTGGCAGGAACCAACATCCTGAGAGATCCCATTTTAGAGCTCAGATTGTTCTCAACAGCTGGAAAATGCTGAGTGTAAATTTTCAGAGAGAAAACATTTCCTTGCTGTCATTTCCTTCTGCTTACTCAGTTGTATTCTCCCAGACACTTAACTAGAAATTCTCAGCAAAAGGAATTTTGCTGTTTTTATCCATTACAGGGCTGCAAACCCCAAACACCTCTGTGAGCACAGGTAATAATTTACCTCCTACAGGAGCCTTGGTTTGGAAATCTCCTGAGGAGGTGCTCTGCCAAAAAGAGCTGTCACAGCCTCTTGTGCAATACATGAGGACGAGAATTGTCACACTGGGACACCTCCTGCTCTGTCACTCAGATGTTTGATCTCAAAGGTTAGAAACCAAGGCTTAAGGGAGGATTTTAGAGCCAATCTTGTGTTTGCTGTGATCAAAAAATGCTTCTCTAGGCCAGAGTCTCACCGTGAGCACGAAGCCTGGGTGGATCCTTGCAGAGGTGATCTGTTGCTGCTGACTGATGTAAAGGAGGATCCTGTACTGGATTCCACAAGGAATTAGACAAGGAAAAAGAACAAAAAGAGGAACTCAAAACATCTTCAGTTCTAAGGTGCTTTGTCACACACATAGCCTAAGGCTCAAATATACCACAGCAAAAATACTTAACACTGTTTTGTGGCACTTATTAAAACTGGTTTATTCTCAAAGAGTTTTGTTTAGCTGCAGCAACCAAGCAAGTCAAACTCATTGTTTTAGAATAAGCAACATGATTTAACTAATTCCACATTTTTTACAGTTATAGTGGAAAAAAATGGTGCACTAATCCCTTCAGATATAGAACTCACCACACATGGCATCAAACCATCACAGAGTCATTCAGGTTGGAAGCAACATCCAAGATCATTCCCCACCACTGCCCCATGTCCCCAAGTGCTACATCCACATGGCTTTTAAACCTCTTCTGGGATGGGGACTCCACCACTGCCCTGGGCAGCTGTGCCAGGCCCTGATCACTCTTTTGGGAAAGACATTTTCCCTAATATCCAACCTAAAGAAGTTTGTGTGTGTAATTTTTTATCTTTGCATAAACTTATTGTCATAAACAGAGTTGAAGGGAACTTTCCCAGTACTAAACAACACAGATATAAGATTTATTGACATATTTGGCTCTTCTAAACATAATCTATTAAGGAAATGTGTTTTCCTTTGTGCACCTGCACTGGACACAGCTCAGTGGTGAACTGGGAGGGACCTAGTGAGTGCTCCCAGTTGGATGTGATACCACACAGGCAGCCTGAGGAAAGCTGGTTCAGATTCCTTCTGCACTCCCTGTCCTCCCCAGCTCCCCCAGAACACCACAGCTCAACACTTACCAGATCACTGACTCAGTGACCAAACTAAGATTTATTTTGTTCTTGCCAAAGCAGAAGCAACTTAGTGAGATAAGAACGAGGGATATGAAACATCACAAATACCAACACCAGGGACGGGTGAGAGTTTTCAAAGCAGCTTTCAAACACACCAATTTACTGGGCACCTCAGTTCTGTGTTCTTCAAGGAACACTTGGGAAGGAAAGATGGTCTTGATACCAAAAGAACAAAACTTAAGCAAAGCACCTCTGTACTGCTGGACTGAATTTTCCTTTATATCCATTTCCGTGTGCACAAATACGTGATCCAGTTGTCAAAGACATTCTGAATAAATACCAAAATGGCTTCCAAAAAAACCTGCAAACTAGTTCAGGCACAAGTTGTAAGAGATCTTACAAACTCATGGACTTCAGGAAAGAAAGATGTCACCAAGGTGGGTGGCTGAGCCCCAAGTAAACTCAGGAGGCAGAAAGGCAGCAGGATAACAACATCAAAAGCAAAACACCTGGAAAGCTCACAGAAACACCATCTCATACCAGTGAGCTTTTAGCATAGCAGAGTTGGGGAAGGAAGTGTCTCTCACCTCTTTGGCAGTGTGGTTCCCCACTACAGCTGCTCCATACTTGCCTTGCTTCAAGTACTGCCCATTTGTACTGGAAGAAAAGGGAGACATTCGGCTGCAAAACTGTCCCTAATTTAAAATTATTTAGACTTCAGATCCCTTTCCTCAGATATAAAATGTCAGGCAGCCTTGCTTAGCTTAGAGACATTCCTACTTGCCCACAGGCAATTGTGGAGTGAGTTGAAAACTGCTCTCACAGATACAAGGCAAAAGCGTTTTTCCATGATGGCAGCATCAAACAGTTTTAGTGCTCTCACTCTGTTCATGCCTCAATTCTCAAGTGCAAGAACACATAAGCATCTGCCAGAGCCTCCTGAAGCAGTGCACATCTCACCCCAGCAGCCAGGACACAGCTCCCAGCCACAGCCAAACCCACAACCTGCTCTTTATCCCAGAACTGCCTCACCCGGAGCTGCAGTGCAGCAACTGAAACTGTTCTTGAGCAGAAACTTCCATTGCCTTGCAACGTTTCCACCATGCAGATATGGCTGAAAGCAACTCTCTTCCCATTTCTCCAGAATATCTCCCCTCTAGGATTAGGGACACAGACTGCACCAGGCTGCAGAAGTCACTTACTATCGATAGGCGAGCACGGCGGTGGCCACCAGCACCGAGGGGGCTCCTGAGGGTGCTGGGGCCACTGGAGCCTTCTGGGCCGGGCCTGTGGGGACACAGATCAGGGACAGCTGTCAGAGGCACAGGACTGGCTGGTGGCACCACCATGACATGCTCCTTCCCTCAAGGAAACATAATTTCCAGTAGGAAATCACAAAGAAACAAAGAGATGCATTCCAAAGTCATCCAAGGCCGGTTGAAAATCCAGGTGTAGGAGGGCACTGGAGGACAACAGCACTGAGGAAAGCTCAGGGAATCATTTGCTCTGCTGCTCTTCACAAAGGCTCTGGTTCTTCCCACACACATTTCCTGCTGAGTGTGTTCCCCACTCTCAACCCCAGTTACTCACCTGCTGCTGTCTGACCCTTCTTGGGCTGCTTTGGTGCAGTGAACTGAAAGAATTCATTTCCCTGGCTTGAGACTGTTTGATCCAGGCCAAAGAGAGAGGCTAATCTGGCTCTAGAAAGGGAAATAAAACCATTTAACCTTATTTAGCACAGTCATTATACCTAATGAACACCCTTAAGCAGAAGTTATATCACAAGTTATATACAAAGTTATATACAAAGTGTTTACCATCACTATGGAAGTAAACAAAGGGCTGCAGGTTAAGTTGCTTTATGGTATTAACCATTTATTTTTGAATAGGCAGAACTTGTATATGCAGAGGTTGGGAAAGTGGTACAATTATGTTTCATTTCCTCAAAAATCGACTGGAAGTATAAGAACTGAAACTATACAAAAAAAAAAGAAGTTACTTTGAAGCAATGAGTAGAACTAGCTTCACATAAAATAGCTGATTCTTACAATACCCAAAATAACGTGTGACAGAGAAACCACCATTCAGCTCCTGGAGTTTTTTTCTCTTTAAATGTCCAGGAAACACATTCTCCCATTAAGTTTTAAAATGAAAGAAGCTCTCCCAGCTAAGGGCAGAGGGTTCAATGCTGGAGATTATTCCTTCAGGAGACGTTGTTTGCAATTTCACTGTTTCAAGGCCAGTTACACTCAACCTATTCCCGATATCACAGGGCAAGGGAATAATTCAAACAAAGGATGACACCACTGTCAGTGAATCTCCTTTAAAAATATAACTAAGTTTTCTATATAGAGAGGATTAGTTTATAAGAGCTGCTAAAGAGAAGCTCTTGGAAGGGGGTGGGGAGTGCACAGAGCTGGAATAGCAGCTCTTGGAGCGGCAACAAGTCAGCGATACAAAACCCTGGATGTGCTCCACACAGACACGATCCAAGCGGAGCCCGATGAACAGCCTGGGAGGAGCCAGCGCTGGCTGAGCAGCCCCAAAGCGGCACTTCCAGGACTTCCCACCCACTCCTTATTCCAGTGGAAACACCGAGTTCTCTGCCCTGAAGATCCCGGAGCGGCCCCGCCTCCCCGGGCGGGAGGGGTCCCCGAGCAAAGCGGGGTCCGGCGGGTCCCCGGGCGGGATCCCAAACCCCAGACCCCGTGCCCCGGGCACAGCGGGCCCGCACCGAGCCCCGCCGGCAGCCGGACCCTTCTCGGGCTGTCCCTACACCGTTCCCGCGGCGGGACAGGAGCGGGCACTGCCCCGGGGGCACCCCCGCTCACAGGAGCACAGCCCCGGGCCTGCTGCACAGGGGCGGCCTGCCCGGCCCTCACCGCCGCGGGCCTTCACCGGGGCCACGGCCCCGCGGCCTGTCCGGGCCGCTGCGCCCTCCCGGCGGCGGGCAGGGGGTCCCACCGCGCCCCCGGCGCTCACCCGCTGGCCGGGGACAGGAAATCGGCGTCGTCCTCCTCCGCCGCCGCGAACATCGCCAGCGACCGCCGGGGCGAGGACGCGCGGGAGGCGGCGGCGCTTCACGGCCCGGCGGCACCGGCACGGCACGGCGCGGGGCGGGAGCGTGACGTCACGGGGCGGGGCTCCAGTGGCACCGCGGGGGCGCGGCTTAACGAGACTGAGGGGCGGGGCTTGGATGACACATCATGGGCGGGGCCTGCATGGATACGTCAAAAGGGCGGGGCTTAGGGGCACAGCGGAGGGCGGGACCTTGATGGTTGCCGGTAGGGGTGGGGTTATGGGGTCCCGGAGGGGGCGGGGCTCTGCCACGGAGGCGGAGCGAAGGCCGCGGCTCGTGGCGGTCGCGCGGTGAGTGACGAGCGCGCTCCGGGGGGAGAGGGGGCTCGTGCCCCCCGCGCCCCCCCCCCCCCATTCCGCCTGAGGGGCCTCATGGCCGCCCCCCTTCCCCTCAGGCCGGGATGTGCGACCTCGGGCCGGGGGCGACCGGGCGCGCCGAAGGGATGGGCAGCCCTGGGACGTGGGGATGGTGGAGGTGCGGGGCGAACTCGCTGTGGGTGCAGGCAGCGCTCCCCGCGCTCCGGGAGAGGTGCCCGGCCCGGCCCTGCGGTTCCCAAGGTGACAGCCGGGCCCCGCGGCCGCCGCGCTGCCCTTGCCGTGAGGGAGCCGTGACCCGCCGGGGCTCCGGGCTGAGCCCGAGGGCCCGCATGGCTCTGCTGGGGACCCTGTGGGTCCGTGGGGCTCGGTAGGGAAGGTTGGGGACACCCGGGCACTGCTGTGCTCCAGGTTCGGTTCTCTGAGCTACCCAGGGACAGCAGCACTGCACTGTGTTCTTAAACATCGGAATAGTTCTTGCGCGGATAAACGTCTGAGCCGCCCCTCTGAAGCAGTTTTCCACGTTGGCCTCGTACCTTGAGAAATACACCTTTTTCTTGGTTTGTTTAATGAGTTTTTTGTGGCGTGTTGTGGCTTTTCTGTGTTTTTCCCCCTAGTTTTTTCTTTATGTGGTTTGTGAGACTACCTGGCTTTGATTTCACCTTAGATACAAATAATGTTGAAATGCAGAAAAACAATGTGCGGGAGGTCAGAATTGCAATAAGGGTTGATATTTCCTGGCTTTGGGTATTTGCTGGCACTGGTTGGAAATTTGTACTGTCAGCTACTGACTGGATGTTTGAGTTTGAGCAGAAAGTTGCCAGGTTTGTTGTGGACCTGAGTTTGCAGTAATACAGGAGTTTATTGCAATGATTGAGATATCATTGATTCCACTTCTAAAAGGAGAAGATAAAAGGGAATGTTAAGCAGCTTTTATATTGCAGAATGTGTGATGAATTTAGAATGAAACTTGGAAAGGGTCAGAATTTTACTACTTTTAAAAGACAAAGCAAAAAAACCCACAATAATTTGGTGTAAATTTCTGGTGGGTGGAGATTGTTCTAACCTTGGTAAGGCAGGTGAGCATGAACTTCCTCCCAATGTGAATGTGGTCTCTTGGATGAAGATAGTTTGTTGCTTTGGCTCCTGTATTTCTGTCAGGTTGGTTGTTAACGTTGTTTTTGTTTTTTAAGTGGTGAAGACCCATGTGGCTAAGTCCTGGCGTGGCACTTCAGTTTAGGCTTTTTAGGTATGGGGATCACGAATATCCTGAATTGGAAGGGACCCACCAGGATCACCCAGGGCAGCCCCTGTCCCTGCCCAGACCCCCCAACAATCCCAGCCTGTCCATCCCTGGCAGCGCTGTCCAAACGCTCCTGGAGCTCTGGCAGCCTCGGGGCCGTGCCCATTCCCTGGGGAGCCTGGGCAGTGCCCAGCACCCTCTGGGGGAAGAACCTTGCCCTGAGCTCCAGCCTGAGCCTGCCCTGGGATAACTTGAGGCCATTCCCTCAGGACAGAGCAGAGCTGCAACCCCTGGTGAGTTCTGACCTCAATTTCCCTTTCAGGATGAACAATCCCAGGGCCCTCAGCTGCTCCTCGTGTGGCCCTTTCAGACCCTTCACCATCTTCTTAGCCCAGAGTTACACCTGTATGTATTTCCTATTTTTTTTTTCACTGGGATTCACTGACACTGGCCAGTTTTAATGCCAGTGTGGTGGGGAAGAGGCTGTAGCAGCACATCTTGCACCACTCAGCAAGCATCACATCTTAGCCACTTGTCCTTTTTTAATTTGAGCTTTGTTCATAGCCTTCATCCGTATTTGAGTGTGCAATGGGCTTGTGGTTGCACACAATTCCCAGGCAGAGGCCAATTCTGCCTGTTTGTGCTCGAATTCCAAGCTCCAGAATGCTTACTAGTCCTGCTTTTTGTGTCCAGGTGGATGAAACACTCCTCACAAGCGTTTATTAAGTTGATTTTCAGTCTGTTTGATCTTAACTTGCCTCTGCTTGAGCCTGAGGTCAGTAAAGCTTTTGCAGGATTTTTCATGAGTAACAATATGGCATCTTATAGGATTCAAGTTAATGATCCCAAATCCTGTCATTTATTATGTAATGTTTCCTGAGGCTTTCATCAGGCTTTGGACTCTGCATTATTTTCCCATCCTTCATTAAGAAGGGGGCACTGGGAATAATGTGTGAATGTTGCTGTTTAATTGAAGATTGCTTTTGTAACTAAGGATTTGTTGGTGAAGCTGTGACTTATCTGCTGTACAATACAAAATTAAAGTGATGCTTTTTGCTACAAACACAAAAATTGTTGCAATAAGAACGTTTTTGCTTCTGCTGTCCTCCCCCCCCAAAATCAAGCACTGAAAATATAAGAACTGGCAGGAGTTGCAAGCTCCCACACAACTTTGTGTTGAGAATGGAGGAATTTTGTACAACCATTTCCTACTGAGACTTGGCTGCTTTTCATTTCATATCAGATTTCTCATCTAGGCCAGGTTGTTAACTAAGATGAGAATTAGGATAATTTCTGCCAGTACAGAGGAGAAATTAAATCACCTTTCCAAGTCACTTTTGCATATTTGCTTTTTAATTTTAAAGGCATCCCTGCCACTGCCTCAGACTTGCAGTGGTACAGGGACAAGTTTTGTGGGGTTGTTATTAGTGTTTTTGTTTTGGAAAGAGTTTTGAGGGGATTTTTCACTTCACTTCTCCCTTCACAATATTTGGATTAGTGAGACACTATCCCTGAAAAAAAATCTTAATGCCTGAGAAGGGAGGGCATTGAGAATAATATTCTGCAGTTTTATATTAGTAGCAAATGACAAAATCAACCATGTTCACCCAGTGAGTTTTGAGCAGGGCCCTGAGGAGTTTCCTTTCAGCTCACTTGTTTTCCAGTCAGACATTTGGTCCAAGAGAAGACAGAACTTTTTGTTCTTTTGGCTAAAATGGACTATTTTCTCCTTTCCTCCTTGGTTTCTCTCTTTGGTAATGAAGACCCTTCTACCCAACAGAAAGCTGTCATGGCTCTGCAGAGCTGCCTTCCCTGCCCTGGCCTCAAGGTCACCTGAAAGTTAGCAGGAGCCTGCAGCAGAATTTTGGGAAGTTGAGCTAAAGCACATTGCCAGCATGAACTTCTCCACAAGTCTGCCACTTGTGGCAATCACTGGGAGTCTTGGCAGTCTTTTCTTAGGGAAGGATGAAAAAGACTCAATCTAGTTTATGTTGTTTTTCTCTAGAAAATCCAATCTTAGTTAATCTACTCCATTGCCTTTTGTTTCAATCTAATTTCCTGGCAATGTTCCCAATCAGGTCCTGGAGAACATGATGCCAGTGATTTTTTCATTAACCTTTTTTTCATCTGAAAGCTGGAATCTGCTAATGCAGAGGATAATGGGACTAGTTATTGTAAACAAATTAAATCCTATTTTGTTGTACTTTGTAAAGCCTTTCATTTGTTGGCCCTAGAATTAGACTTTCTTGGTTTAGAAGTCAGTCTAGAAGTGGGGGAAATAGCTCTTTTTTAGTTTTCTTTTTTTCTTTTTATAGTTTTTAATGTCATTTCCCCTTGTCTTTTCTTCCCTGTGTTATCAGTTCATGTCTACGAGGGTCTCCAGCTGATTTCCAGTGGCACTTCAGCAACTGTGATTACAGCCAGAACAATGGCTTTGGTTCCTGCTCTTTTCCTCTCTGTGGATATAATCTTAGAAAAGTCTCATATTTGCTGGGTCACAGATGTAAATGTCATTTATCATCTGCTAAAGAAGTTGTACAAACATAAAATCTTTTCAATTTATCTAAATGACTAGAGCAGTCCATGGTAGTTCTAGAGCACAGGCCAAATTCTGCAAGTGATTGAGGCTCTTCTGTTCTCACTAATTGTTCAGCATGTGCTGATATGAATCCTGAGAAGTTGGGAGAAAACTGGGAACAGAATGAAGGAGTTCTGGCATGGAACTCACAGTGAGTGCCCCAAGCTCTCCTGAGACTGTGGGAGAGCCACTTCAACTTCCATAAACCTTCTTTTCCCACACTTACTCATTAGTTATCACGGATTCAGATCTCATTCCTCTGATGAAGGTACAGGAGCTTGGAATATGAGCTTTGTGATATATTTAGCTGATCTTTTGACTAACCTGGATAAGGGGAACCTTGGCAGTCTTGGCTGGTTTTTTTTTTTTGCTTAAACACTGCATCTGTATGGGCAAGGAGTGCCTGGCAAATGTATTTTGAGGCTTTTTTCACATTGGAGAGAATTGGACTTGGCTGTGTAGGATTAAGAAGTTCTCTGAGGCCACCTATGAGGTGCAGTGCTCATCTGAGCTAATGCTGTGAGCAGACTGGCTGGCCTGCTCCAGAGAGCTGGGAAAAGCAGCTCCTGGAAAGGGATCCAGCTCCTAGGGAGAGGCTCATGCCTGTGACCCAGCCTTGTGTGATGTCTGTAATTGGTGGCTGCACTCAGAGTGCAGTGGGGCAATGGTGGGACAGTGGCAGCGGCTCGTGCCACCCTGGCTGCACTGGGAGCCAGGGATCCCATTCGTCACTGTGAACCTTCCCTGCCCCCAAAGGCGTTCAAACAGCTCATTGGCACAGCTGGACTGCATTTCCAAGCTTGCATCTTTTAATTGGGAAGGAAAAACACTAACAAACGTGGAGCAGACTCAAAGGCAGTGCTCCCAGTAGGAGCCATCCCAGTTCACTGTCGTGCAGCCCTCGGGAAGTGCTGCCATCAGTGGGAGGGCATTTCCGATGGGTAGATCAGCCCTTGCACATCAAAGTGATAAGGGAAGTGGGAGCACAAGGGCTCGAGGAGCACACCCAGCCTCGGGATACTGTGCAAGTGAAATGCAATCAGTGTTGGTCTGGTTTTCTTGCCTCCTTTGTTTGTCTGAGGTCCTGCTCTGATGGATTTGACAAGAGGCTGAGTCACAATTTCTGGGTTCTCTGCCAGCAGGGTTTTATACAAATCAAGTTATCATTGGCTTTGATGCCCTTCATTAACTTGAGGTGAGACATTATCTCATGAGGATGTGTTCAACTTGAGTGTTTAAGGTGGTGTCAGGTGAGGCTGAAGTGTGCTGGAGGAGCATGTTATAGATACTGTCAGGCTGAAACCTGAACAGCTACAAACGAAGTTGGGAGTTCCACAGCTGCCCTCATGTTCCTGTTACAGGCTTGGTTATACTTGTAAAGCCCTTTTTGTTCTCTTTTAATAAAAGGCATGGAGCAGTCTGTAGAATATCCTTCTGTCTGTATAGGTGGTAAAGCCTAATGCACTTGACTCTGATTATTTTGCTTCTAATTTAAAAAACCACTTGGCAGCAGCCTGACTTTCCTTAATTTTCTGAATTCCTCAACTAAAACCCTCCAGGACATCACAGCACGATCATGTGCACTGCCTGTCAGTTGATCCCGTTTTGTGTAACTCTTGCTTCTGATCTTGCTTGAAACCACAGCCCCCACCACGAGGCCCCTTGTGTTGCAGGGCACAGCACAGCTGTTCTTGCACTTTTTCTGCTTTGTCCCTTTTTTTATTTCATAGCAATTGTTGGCTCCAGCTTTCCAAGCAGAGAGGTCCCAGAGCCAGTTATCCTGACAGGGTTTGTCCTGGACACAGTGTTGAAGAATTTCTGCACAAGTGATGATTTATCTGCCTTGTTATTTTATTCTCACTTCCCAGTACTCCTGAAAACTGGCTGATAGCTTTGAAAACATCACATTTCTTCATTATGGGGCAGATAGAGTCGCAGGGTGATTTAGGGTAGAAGGGACCCTAAAGCTCATCTTGTTCCATCCCCTGCCATGGCAGGGACCCCTCCCACTGTCCCAGGCTGCTCCAAGCCCCAGTGTCCAGCCTGGCCTTGGGCACTGCCAGGGATCCAGGGGCAGCCACAGCTGCTCTGGGCTCCCTGTGCCAGACCTGCCCACCCTCCCAGGGAACAATTTCTTCCTAAAATCTTATCTAAGCCTGCTCTCTCTAAGTATTCAAAACTTTATTAGTTCGAATACTAAAATACTTAAATAGTAAAATAAACTACGCTTGCTTTGTTATATCCAGAAGCAAGCAAACCACTAATTTATCTAATAGAGATATGAATGTTGGAAATGTGTTTCAGTTAATGTATTGGAAAGTAATCTCTGCAATGCACTTAATCAGATCAGAGAGTTCTAAAATCTCTTGGCACTTGTGCAAAGATCTCGTGAGGGACACTCAGGAACTGCTTTTGCTGCTCTGTGGATCCCTGTGTGAGCATCCCAGTGCTTGGTCTGGTCCTAAGCTAATCTGAGCAGTAGTTAATGATTAGCCTTTGATAGAGATAATGATGTGCTTGTCAGCATTATGTGAGGGTTGAGAAACTTTGATCAGTCTCAGACTTACTGCCTCTCTGGAGAAAAAGGCTCTGCTGGAGTCAGTAGATGGAAAAGCTGTCTCTGGAAGAGTAAGTACTCAGCATTTTTCACCCCTGAATCATTTCTGCTTTGGATTAGCAACTCTCTGGCTGTCCAGGGGTTTGAAAATGATGAAAAAGCCAGCATTCAGAGCTCTTGCCCAGAGTGCTTTTTTGTCACTCATGGAAAAATTGTTGATGGCTCTTGTTCTGGCTTTCCATGCCCTACAGTCATGGCTCCTCCTGTCAGAAGAGTGTCACGAGGCCAAGGCTCTTCCAAAGACACTTCCTTTCTAGAGAGTTGAGTTGATTGCTCTTTTCCTCTTCTTCATACTGGAGATCTTCTATTTGCTGAGATTGTATTTTCAGTGACTCAGTAATTTCAATAATACTTCCAGTAGTTCAGTTGCATCTTCAAAAGGAGAATGCTCTGGTCCATGGATTGGGGCTATGAATTTGTTCTCTGAACCCCTACAAGTATTTGCATTACTACCTGGAAGCTGTTTGTGTATCACTGTGCATCCATTTGCTGTTTGCCAAGATCATGGATCAAGAGTAGGAAGGTGCCTCTGGTGATGGATATTTGGCCTTAACCATCTGCCAAAACAGAGATTGACTTC